AAAAGATGGATGTCTCAACATTTATTTAACCAATCAGCTATTGTTAGACATTTACATTTGATTTTCCCTGCATTTACTCCCTGCCATCTTTTACCTTATATTCTTGCTGCCTTCTGAATGGTTCAGACACTTCCCTATACCTTCGTTCTGGGATTGAGTGAAGTTCTTCATTCCAGAGCATCTGAAAGCAATACAGTAGTCTCCCCTTACCCATGGGGGGCACATTCCAAGACCCCCCAGTGGATGCTTGAAACTGTGGATAGTAAAAAAGAAAAGAAAAGAAACTGTGGATAGTATTGAATCCTGATATGGTTACCCAAATCTCATCTTGAATTGTAATCTGAATTGTAATCCCCAGGTGTCAAGGGAGGGACCTGGTGGGAGGTGATTGGATCATGGGGGCAGTTTCCCTCATGCTGTTCTCATGACAGTGAGTGAATTCTCATGGGATCTGATGGTTTCATAAATGGCAGTTTTCTCTGCTTTCTCTCCTGCCACCTTGTAAAGAAGATGCTTGTTTCCCTTGGCCTTCTGTCATGATTGTAAGTTTTCTTAGGCCTCCCAGCCATGCAGAACTGTGAGTCAACTAAACCTATTTCCTTTATTAATTACTCAATCTCGGCCTTCTCGTGCCTGTAATCCCAACACTTTGGGAGGCTGAGGCAAGTGGATCACGAAGTCAAGAGATCGAGACCATCCTGGTCAACAAGGTGAAACCCTGTCTCTACTAAAAATACAAAAATTAACTGGGCATGGTGGTGCACGCCTGTAGTCCCAGCTACTCGGGAGGCTGAGGCAGGAGAATTGCTTGAACCCAGGAGGCGGAGGTTGCAGTGAGCCGAGATGGTGCCATTGCACTCCAGTCTGGGTAACAACAGCAAAACTCCATCTAAAAAAAGAAAAAGAAATTACTCATAGCAGTGTGAAAACAAACTAATACAAACTGATATGGTTTGGGCTGTGTCCCCACCCAAATCTCCTCTTGAATTCCCACGTGTTGTGGGAGACCTGGTGGGAGGTAATGGATCACGGGGGCAGGTCTTTCCTGTGCTGTTCTTGTGATAGTGAATAAGTCTCATGAGAGCTGATGGTTTAAAAGAGGAGTTTCTCTGTACACCCTCCCTTCTCTTGTCTGCTGCCATGTGAGACATGATTTTCACCTTCAGCCATGATTGTGACGCCTCCCCAGCCACAGGCAACTGTAAGTCCACTAAATCTCGTTCTTTTGTAAATTACCCAGTCTTGGGCATGTCTTTATCAGCAGCATGAAAACAAACTAATAAACAAATGCTATATATACTACGTTTTTTTCCTACACATACATTCCTATGATAAAGTGTAATTTATAAATTAGGCATAAGAGACTAACAACTTCTCTTTGGCATACATTTGGCTTTTCTTTAACAGATCCAAATTGCCAACATCACCACTTTTGCACTTTGGAGCCCTTATTTTTTTTTTTTTTTTTTTTTCTTTTTTTGAGACGGAGTTTTGCTGTTGTTACCCAGGCTGGAGTGCAATAGCGCAATCTCGGCTCACTGCAACCTCCGCCTCCTGGGTTCAAGCAATTCTCCTGCCTCAGCCTCCCGAGTAACTGGGACTACAGGCACGCACCACCACGCCCAGCTAATTTTTGTATTTTTAGTAGAGACGGGGTTTCACCTTGTTGACCAGGATGGTCTCGATCTCTTGACCTTGTGATCCACCTGCCTCGGCCTCCCAAAGTGCTGGGATTACAGGCATGAGCCACTGCCCCCGGCCTGGAGCCCTTATTAAATAAAATAAGGGCTACCTGAACACAATCACGGCCATACCACGATAGTGTATCTATCTGACAACCAAGAGACCTACTAAGTGACCAAGGGGTAGGTAGCATCTTGGTCTACACTGTGGGAATAGTGGGAACACACTGGACAAAAGGTGGAATGGGATGGTGCAAGAACCGCTACTCAGAACAGAGCGCAACATAAAATCTATGAATTGTTCATTTCTGGAAATTTTCCATTAATATTTCAGACTGTGGCAGTCTGTGGGTAAGTGAAATTGATGAATGCAAATTGCAGGTAAGTGGGGACTGCTGTAGTGGGGACAGAGTAAGCCTAGACCCGGAGTCACCTACCAGTTGCATGAAGTCCACAAATGTGTTTTGTTGTATCCACATGGTGATTTTTAAATGTTTGAATTTATAGTGAACATTTAAAAATTAGAAGAGTTTACTTGAAAATCTGGATGTTGACTTCTTTTGAAATATATCTGGCTATAGTGGGCCCACATTCTGGCATGGCTAATTGTGGCTGGAGCTAAGTTCAGCTGCGTCCTGCAGATGAAGGTTGTTCTGAGCCAGAGCAGCTGTCCTTACTTGTCTGCTAGCTCTCGTGTTTTTTCTTTCTTTCTTTCTTTCTTTTTTTTGAGATGGAGTTTCACTCTTGTTATCCAGGCTGAGTGCAATGGCGCGATCTCGGCTCACCGCAACCTCTGCCTCCTGGGTTCAGGCAATTCTCCTTGCCTCAGCCTCCCGAGTAACTTGGACTACAGGCATGCACCACCACGCCCAGCTAATTTTTTGTATTTTTAGTACAGATGGGATGTCACCATGTTGACCAGGATGGTCTTGATCTCTTGACCTCGTGATCCACGCGTCTCGGCCTCCCAAAGTGCTGGGATTACAGGCTTGAGCCACCACGCCCGAACCCAGGTTTTTTCTTTAATTTTTTTTACACCTATCTGTCAAAAGGAAGTTCTGATATGCAACTTGTCTGTTAATTCTTTTTTTTAAAAAAACTATTATTTTTTACACCTATCTATCAAAAGGAAGTTCTCATATACAATTTGTCTGCTGACTCTTATATCCACTCAGTCTCATCCAAGGTCTTAAAGTCTCAGATCTGGGAACACCCTCACTTCAACATCTGCTCAGGACATCTTTTCTTTTATTATTTTTTAAGGCAGGGTCTTGATCTGTCACCCAGGATAGAATACAGTGGTGTAATTATAGCTCACTGCAACCTCGACCTCCCGGATTCAAGTGATCCTCCCACCTCTGCCTCTTGAGTAGGTGGGACCACAGGCACATGCCACCACCCCCAGACAAAGGACTCATTTTAGAAAGCAGTGTAGTTGAGAGGAATAAAATGCTGAGTTTGAACCAGAAGAGATGAATTTTAGTCAACTGAACCATTCCCTGCTCTAGTTTTCCCTTCTGTTCAATGCCTTAGATGGGTATTTCTTGGCCAGGTGTGGAGGTTCACGCCTGTAATCCTAGCACTTTGGGAGACCGAGGCGGGCAAATTACTTGAAGTCAGGAGTTTGAGACTAGCCAGGCCAACATGGTGAAACCTCATCTCTACTAAAAATACAAAAATTAGCCGGGCGTGTGGATACATGCCTATAATCCCAGCTACTCAGGAGGCTGACACACAAGAATTGCTTAAAACTTCAGGCTGAAACACTTTGGAGCAGTCCAACAGATTATCTGACTCTCCCAGGTTCCAATCCTCAGTAAGACTTCGGAATAAAACTAACTTAAATTCTTGAAAGTTTTTTCTCTTTCTTTTTTTCAAGACAGGTTCATCACTCTGTCACCCAGGCTGGAGTGCAGTGGCACAATCTTGGCTCACTGCATGCAGCCTTGACCTCCTGGGCTCAAGCGATCCTCCCACTTCAGCCTCCTGAGTAGCTGGAACTATGGTGCATGATTGTGCTGGGTTAATTTTTAAAAGTTTCTTTTTTTTTAGAGATGGGTCTCACTGTGTTGCCCAAGGTGGTCTTGAACTCCTGGGCTCAAGCAATCCTCCTGCCTTCGCTCCCAAAGTTCTGAGATTACAAGAGCAGGAATGAGCACTTGGCCTGATTTTTGTTTTCCTTGACAAGTCAGGGTTCAGGAAATGATTATTATCCATAAAAATTGCAAAGGGATACACTGATTTGTTCATTATCAAAGGGGCCAGAGAGAACCTGGTGATTATTTAACTGGGCTTCGGGGAATAAAGGCAAAGCTCTCAGATGAGTTTTGAGTTCGAAGCCTAGAAACAGGGAGGGGAGCGGAGGCCAGGGACAAGATGACGGATTCCATTTTAAGTGATAACTTCTAAGCCTCAAGTAAAAATCCAGGTTGCCTTTTGGGTGTAAAGTAGAAACCTGAGATACAGAATTAAGAGTTGCCCAGGTCAGGCGAGGTAGCTCAGGCCTGTAATCCCACCACTTTGGGGACAGTCAGACCTGGGTCCCAATCTGTGTTTTGTCCCTTCGGCCCGTTGTGACTGTGGCTGGTGGCTTCGTGGCTCTGGGCTTGTTTCCTTCTCTATAAATAAGGAAACATGGTATCTGCTACGTTGATGCCTGTAAAGCTTAAGCACAGGGCCTGGCAATAGGTCTGTAAGGCGGAAACCTGGGGTACACAATTAAGATCTATGGGTCTCCTGTGCAACCCAACTTTTGGGCACTCTGCCTCATTTTCCCCAGCCTAGACGCGTGGGTTCTGTTTGACTGGTTGCTCACTGCGGGCTTGGGGCTCCTCACTCCCGGGGCAAAGCCCGGTATGAAGGGTCACCTTCTGGGGCAGCTCGGACCTTCCCACGCCCCTGCGCCGCACAATCTTGGGATCAGCCCCACGTGGAGATCCCGTCTGTGCAGCCCAGCTCAAGGCCCCTCCAGCCCAGACACTAAATGAAAGCGAAGAGCAGCTGGCTGCCAAACTGTCAGTGCCAGATCTCTGCGAACTTACTCCGCTGAAAGAGCAACCGGGATGCGCCATCTCCGGGAGAAAAACCCCCTCCTTCAGTTACAGGGCGAAATGGCGCCGTGGCGCTACACTGCGCACGTGAACTGCTCTGGTCCTGGTCCCGCCCCTGCACCCGCGGGTACTGACGGCGCCTGAGAGTATGTTGGGGGCGGAGCCCAGACGAGCCCTTCATCCTATCTTGCCCAAACCCCTCTCAGGGGTAACTTAAACTACGCTTCCCAGAATCCTTCTCAGCCTGGGACTTCCGTTGTCGTCAGCGGAAGCGGTGACAGAGCATCCCAAGCCACACAGAGGCCGGCTTGGTCACTATGGAGGAGATAGGCATCTTGGTGGAGAAGGCTCAGGTACAGTGGGGAGTTGGGCTTTTTAGTCAGGGACGGGATCACGCGGAGAGGGTGAAGCCAGACCTGAGTGGAGGAATGAATGGCTTCGAGGATCCCAGTCCGGGCTGGGGTGATTTCAGAGGCCTCAGTGGAGAGAGCGTTGTGCCGTTCGGAGGCCTGTCTCGGTGACCGAGTGATGATAGGAAGTAAGGCTCAGAAAGCGGGGCTGGGGGAGTGACGTTAGTAGGTCTTTGAGACTATTGATTTCGAACCCTGACCGGAGTGCTTGGTGACGTCGGCGATCCGGCGTTGGATTGGGTCAGACGGTGAGTGATGTATGGGACCCAAGCGATGCGGCCGAGTTACCCCAGGGCTAGGCTGTGGGGCTGACTGATGTTCAGGGCTTTGCTGATGGGGGTAATGAGGCGGGTAGTTAGGTATTATCTGTTGTTTGGCTGAGTGATGTTAGGTCTAAGGAGAGTTGGGAGACTGTGACATATGGGATCTTTGAGTGAAAACTAGGGAATGTTAGCACTCTTTGAAGTCGCTGTCACTTTAACAGCCTATCTGGGAGAGCCATGTGACATTAGGAACCTCTTGAGGAGGATTGGGTGTCATTTGTGTCTCATAAGGAGTTGATGTGACATTTAGATCCTAGTTGGGGGTTGTGTGGACACTGGGGACATTTTGAGTGGTATATGATAGCATAAGATCTGTGTGAGGGGCGAGTTGACATAAGGGGCTTGTTAGGGGACCAAGAGGTTTCCAGGATCTACATAGAGGGTCTTACTATGTCAGGGGTTTATTAGGGCTAAGTGACTTCATGGTGAAGTGGGGAAGGGAACAAACATTAGTGAAGTTGAGACGCTTCATGAGAGGACGTCTCTTCCAACTTGAGTTTTCTCCTTTGGTCTAGGATGAAATCCCAGCACTGTCCGTGTCCCGGCCCCAGACTAGTCTGTCCTTCCTGGGCCCTGAGCTCTGAGGACCTGGAAGACCTGTACAGGCCGCTACAAGTACCTTCAACCCCCAACCCAGACCTTGCACAGGACCTGGCATCTCATACTCTCCCCACTTTCCACCACTCTCTGGATCAGCAAGGGCTGGAGCCATCCCCTTCTGTCCCCTCTCTACTCACAGAAGCTGCAGCAAGAGCTGGAGTTCCTGGAGGTACAGGAGGATATCATCAAGGATGAGCAAAGAACCTGAAAAGGGAATTCCTCCATGCCCAGGAGGAGGTGTGGGTGAAGCCGAATCAAGCATCCCCGCTGTCAGAGGACAACTCTGGAGGCTGTGGGATCAGAATACAGCCATTGTGGGCCTCTACAACAGTGTGTGGGTGGCGAGGGACAAATCCTTAATTCACCTGGCCACTTAACAACTCATCCTACCATGTGAGAGGTAGACAGCAAAACAAGGCATGGAAGTACAGTGTTCTTCAGAGTATTCTGACTTGATCCAAAGGTAGAAATACTCAACAATGCGAAACTTTTTTTTTTATTTTAAGGGACAGTTTCACTCTTGTTGCAGGCTGGAGTGCAGTGGAATGATCTCACAGTGGACGGCAACCTCTGCATCCCTGGCTAGTTACAAGCAATTCTCCTGCTTCAGCCTCCCAAGCGCATGGCCTAATTTTGATTATTACAGAGTTAAGGGTTCACCACGTTGGCCAGGCTGGTCTGAATCAGACCCTTAGGTGATCCACCACTGCAGAATCCAAAAGTGTTGGATACATGTCGTGAGCACTGCACCAGCCAGAAATATTTTACATTTTGAATGTCTGTATCTGTCTCTTACTTCTTTGGAGATGTATTAAACATAAGTTGTGCCATGAGATATTTAGAATGTGGTGGGTATACTCTGAGGTTTTCTATCCTATTCTCATATGGTTTGCTTTAAAACCCACCAAGTTCTGATCAGACCTTCCAAATTGATTCACAGATAATACTGGGTGGGGCCTGATTTTGAAACGAGAGTGAGGAAGGGTGGGGGTTTTTAAGAGATTGCGCTCCTGGGGCCAGGCAACGGTGACTAACATGTATAATTCCAGCACGTTGGGAGAGACCACAGAGGTGGGAAGACTCCGCTTGAGGCCATAAGGTTGCAGAACAGCTGGGAAACTGGCGAAACCCCTCTCAACTAAAAATATAAAAATTAGCTGCGTGTGGTGGGCACGCCAGGCAATCCCAGCCATCAGGTGGTTGAGCACAAGAATCTGTTGAACCCAGGAGGGGAGAGGTTTCAGTGAGCTGAGGATCGAAAAACTTACTACAGCCTGGGCAACACGGAGCAACAAAATCTATCTCATCAAAAAAAAAAAAAAGATTGGGCTTTGATAAGAACTCCGTGTCCTTATCAGAGTATATTGTAGCTGCTGTTGTTTATATAGGTCCAGGCCTTGCCCTCATGATAGTCATTGTCCCTGGCATCTTAACTGTTTTTTTATGTTTCTCGGCTCTGCTCCTCTAGACCAAGCATGTTCTTGTAAAGGTTGTGGAGAAAGGTGTGCAATTGTGCCTGGAATTGGACTGGTGGGCTGTGAGGAAGTGAGGTGAGGGTGGTATTCAGAATGAGGCCCTCTATCTTGACCTGTAGGAGTGGGACAGTGGGGCTTTCCCTGAGATGGCTCCATGGTACAGGAGTAGGTTTGTGGGAAGACAGGGAGGGCAATCCATAGCTCATGGGAGGTGTCCAGGAGGCTGCTGGTCAGCCAGGTCTGACAGGAGAGACATTGAGCTTGGAAAGGGAAGTGTGCCTCACAAGCATGAGATGTTGCAGGAGGAGGCCTGCTGGACAGCCAGGGCTGGAGCTCAAGAGGGAATCAGAGTGGTAGACAAGGAGCTTGTATGAATGTTGGGGATGGACAGCAGGAGGAAGGATGGAAGCTGAGAGGAGACCCCTCAGTGTCTCAGCCAGAGATGCTGGCGGCGTAGTGGGGTGTGACTGTGAGATTAGGAGGAAGGAACGGGGAAGGGGCAGTTTCCAGGCTCTCACAACTTCTTGTTTTCCTTCTCCCTTCTTGCAGGCTCCAACTACTATGTGCGCATCCTGAGCACCATCGATCGGGAGCTACTCAAGCCCAATGCCTCAGTGGCCCTCCACAAGCACAGCAATGCACTGGTGGACGTGCTGCCCCCTGAAGCTGACAGCAGCATCATGATGCTCACCTCAGGTAAAGGGGGAGCCTGCAGCTGGGGGTCCCATGGGGACCTTGAGGACCTGGCCGGGAGCCCCAGCTCTGCTCTTCCACCAGACCAGAAGCCAGACGTGATGTATGCAGACATCGGAGGCATGGACATCCAGAAGCAGGAGGTGCGACGAGGCCGTGGAGCTCCCACTCACGCATTTCGAGCTCTACAAGCAGGTGAGGCCAATGCAGGTGGCAGGGAAGGGAGAGGCCTAGTTGGCTCTGGGGTTAGGGTGAGACTCCTAACTCACAACTTCTCTTCCCTTCTATGGGTTTCAGATCGGCATTGATCCTCCCCGAGGCGTCCTCATGTATGGCCCACCTGGCTGCGGGAAGACCCTGTGGCAAAGGCGGTGGCACATCAACACGACAGGTGAGGCATATCACCCTCTGCCCCTGCCCCGAGCTCTAATCTTCTGGCCTCTTCGTCTTGCTTCCTGCTTGCTTACTCTTCCCAGGAAGTGGCACGCCACAGTGATCAGAAACATAGACTCTGGGGTCACAGCCCACGTGTGCATGTTACTGGGCTGTGCTGGCTTCAGCTCCTTGGGCCTTTCCTCATAGTAAAAGACTCATTTCACCCAGCGATTGTGAGCAGTTAATGAAATAATGCAGTGTTTTTCCTACAATGGGTTGCGACCCAGTAGTAATTATGAATTTCAGTTTGTGGGTTGCAGCCAACATTTTGAAACAAGAAATAGAACAGAAAGTAGCAGAGCACATCCCACGTGGTATTATGTATACATGGTACAAGTATATATGGTGCAAGTTCGGCTGTTTTGTGAAACTTGTTTCATACACATGTGCACATTCATGTATTCTTGTGGTTCTTCAAAAATATATATATTTTTAAATTTTTTTTGTAGGTTGCCCAGGCTGGCCTTGAACTCCTGGGCTCAAGGATCCTCCCACCTCAGCCTCCCAAAGTGCTGGGATTATATAGGCATAGCCATGCACCTGGCCCCAAAAATGTATTTCTTATTGTAGGTACCAGACAAAAATGTCTGAAATCACTTACGTGTAACTCTTTTGTGTTTGATGTTAAAGCCCTAAAATCTTAAGCATATTTTCAGATCTTAATACATGTGAGCCAGGGAACAGCAGGAGGGAGTAGTTAAGCAATGTGTTTTCTGGGGCCAGACTGCCTGGCTTTGAAATCTACTTCCCCACCAACTTCTTATGTGATCCTCAGTAAGTTAACCTGTCCTGTGACTCAGTTTTCCCTAATTGTCAGATGAAGACAATCATAGTATCTCTTTTTTCTGGAGTGGTTGTTAAGAAGAGCAATTTGACACAAAGCGTCTAGAATGGACAATAAATGTTACCTGTTGTCATTGCTACTCATTTGTTTGGTACTTCATTGAAACTTTATACTCTGTACCAGGCTTTGTGCTGGAATGCAAAGATGACAATTAGAGATGTCACTTGCCTTGACTGGGAAAAAAAAGACTCCTAGAACTTAGTCATTCATCGATTGTTTACTGAGCACCTACTATGTGCTAGGATGTGTTTGTAGATGCCAGAGACTGGGCAGTGAACAGAACATCTCCTTATAGAGGTGATGTCTTAGTTGGAAAAGAAAAGAGATAAACAAGTCGATAGATTATATAGCACAAGCCTGTCCAACCCATGGCCCACCACATGGCCAGGATGGCTTTGAATGTGGCCCAACACAAATTCGTAACTTTCTTAAAACATGATGAGATTTTTGTTTTTAGACAGAGTCTCGCTCTGTCGCCCAGGCTGGAATGCAGTGACAATGATCTTGTTCTCTGCAAAGTTCGCCTCCTGGGTTCAAGCAATTCTCCTGCCTCAGCCTCTTGAGTAGCTGGAATTACAGGTACATGCCACCTCATCCAGCTAATTTTTGTATTTTTAGTAGAGATGGAGTTTCACCATCCTGGCCAGGCTGGTCTTGAACTCCTGACCTCATGATCCACCTGTCTTGGGCTCCCAAAGTGCTGGGATTACAGGCATGAGCTACCACACCTGGCTGATTTTTTTTAAGCTCATCAGCTGTCATTAATGTTAGTGTATTTATTATGTGTGGCCCAAGACAGTTCTTCCAATGTGGCCCTGTGTACCCTTCACTGAGATTCCCTAATGTTATTATCTTATGTAACCATAATACAATTAGGAAAATCAGGAAATTAACAATGGTACAATTACTATGAACTAAAGTATAGACCTCCTTCAAATTTTACCAATTTTCCACTAGTGTCCTTGTTCTGTCCTGAGTTCCAATCCAGTGAAGACAAATAAGCTTGGCTGAGTAGGAACAGAAATTGAGAGACCCTGACTTCCAGTTCTTTTTTTTTTTTTTTTTGAGACAGAGTCTCGCTCTGTTGCCAGGCACGAGGCTGGAGTGCAGTGGCCAATCTGGCTCACTGCAACCTCCACCTCCCGGGTTCATGCAATTCTCCTGCCTCGGCCTCCCAAGTAGCTGGGGACCACAGGCACACGACACCACACCCAGCTAATTTTTGTATTTTTAGTAGAGATGGGGTTTCACTATGTTGGCCAGGATGGTCTCAATCTTTTGACCTGGTGATCCGCCCGCCTCGGCCTCCCAAAGTGCTGGGATTACAGGCTTGAGCCACTGCACCCGGCTGACTTCCAGTTCTGTCATTTTTCTGAGTGAACTGGGTGGTTTGTCACTGGAAGAGGGAGGGAAGAGAGAAGGTGCAGAAGGGATGTAGACATGGGAAAGCTGCTGACTGGGGTTGAGTTTGTTTTGTTTTCTATAGAGACAGGGTCTTGTTCTATCACCCAGGCTGGAGTGCAGTGGTGCACTCATAGCTCACTGCAACCTCAGTCTCCTGGGCTCAAGCAATCCCCACCACCTCAGTCTCCTGAGTAGCTGGGACTACAGGCATGTGCCAACCGTTCCCAACTAATTTTTATATCTTTATTTATTTATTTATTTTGAGACGGAGTTTCACTCTTGTTACCCAGGCTGGAGTGCAATGGCGCCATCTCGGCTCACCGCAACCTCCGCCTCCTGGGTTCAGGCAATTCTCCTGCCTCAGCCTCCTGAGTAGCTGGGATTACAGGCACGCGCCACCATGCCCAGCTAATTTTTTGTATTTTTAGTAGAGACGTGGTCTTGCTATGTTGCCTAGGCTGGTCTTGAACTCCTGGGCTCAAGCCATCCTCCTGCCTCGGCTTCCCAAAGTGTTGGGATCACAGGTGTGAGCCTTTTTTTCTCTTTCTTTTTTCGGGGGGAATTCATCTATTTGTTCTGGTGGCAGTACGGCTTATCAAGAGTGAGAAACTGAAGCAGGAGCCATTCCAGGGTAGATGGAAGGAGTAGGCAGAGCCCAGAGGGGGCTGAGAGATTGGGAGGACAGGAAGGTTATGGTAGGAAGGGGACTGTAGTGATAGAGTAGGGAAGGCCAACGGGCAGGCTGGGTTCCAGAGATGGTGATTTCATGTGGAACTGACTGGACATTTGCAGAACAGCTAAGTAAATGTATGGCCAGAGTCAGTTGGTCAGGGTGTGTTTAGAGCAGAAAAAGAAACCTTGAGGTGAGGATGCTGAATGAGCCCCCAGCTGATGGAAGTATCCAGAAAGAGGGACCCCTTGAGCCAGGTGTCAAGTCTGGATCTTAGGGAGTGAACAGGGCAGGGATGAAGCCTTGAACATTTCATAGTTTAGGACATAAAACCACCCTGTCCACATGTATGGACTGTATGTCTTGCTTCTCTGGTAGCTGGAAGGAGACTACTGGGGGTATGCTCTGTACAACACAAAGCATCAGATCCTTAAGAAGCAAGTGTTACTTTGGCTGGGCGCGGGGGCTCATGCCTGTAATCCCAACACTTTGGGAGGCTGAGGTGGGTAGATCACCTGAGGTCAGGAGTTCAAGACCAGCCTGACCAACATGGAGAAATCCTGTCTCTACTAAAAATACAAAATTAGCTGGGTGTGGTGGCGCATGCCTGTTATCCCAGGTACTCAGGAGGCTGAGGCAGGAGAATTGCTTTGAACCTGGGAGGCAGAGGTTGCAGTGAGCCAAGATTGTGCCATTGCACTCCAGCCAGGGCAACAAGAGTGAACTCTACCTCAAAAAAAAAAAAAAGAAGAAGAAGAAGAAACAAGTGTAACTTTAAGAAACAAGGGCAAGGTCAAGCCTGGGGTATCTCATGCCTATAATCCCAGCACTTTGGGAGACTAAGCCAGGAGGATCCCTTGAGGCCAGGAGTTTGAGACCAGCCTGGGCAATATAGGAAGACCCCATCTCCTCAAAAATTTTAAAAAGCTAGGTGTGGCTACATGCCTGTAGTCCTGGCTACTCAGAAGGCTGAAGAGAGGGGATTGCTTGAGCCCAGGAGATTGAGGCTGTAGTAAGCTATGATCACACCACTGTATTCCAATCTGGGCAAGAAAGTGAGATCTATCTTGCTTGTTTAAAAAATAAACAAGTCCAAAGGGAGGGCCCAGAACAAATCTGTCTTCAACCCTATTACCAATTTCAGTTATATCAGAAGACATGCCCATGGGCCCTGATTTTTTTTCAGGAAATTAAAAAGCTGGTCCTTATAGCAAACAGGAACTCAGAGCTCTTGGCAAGGCAGTATGACGTCTTAGTGTATGGGCAGCATGTCTGTTTTCTTGCTGATTTTGCAAGTGCTCCAGAAATTTATTTTTTTCTTTTCTATTCTTTTATTCATTCATTCGTTTATTTTATTTATTTATTTTTTTGAGACGGAGTTTCACTCTTGTTACCCAGGCTGGAGTGCAATGGCACAATCTCGGCTCACCGCAACCTCCGCCTCCTGGGTTCAAGCAATTCTCCTGCCTCAGCCTCCCGAGTAGCTGGGACTATAGGCGTGCACCACCATGCCCAGCTAATTTTTGTATTTTTTTTTAGTAGAGACAGGGTTTCAACATGTTGACCAGGATGGTCTTGATCTCTTGACCTCGTGATCCACCCACCTCGGCCTCCCAAAGTGCTGGGATTATAGGCATGAGCCACCGCGCCCAGCCTTTTATTTTAGTATTTCATATCCTGATTTTTAAATGTTGGACCAAAAAATATGACACATCTGGCTGGGTGCGGTGGCTCACGCCTGTAATCCCAGAACTTTGGGAGGCCGAGGTGGGTGGATCATTGAGGTCAGGAGTTCAAGACCAGCCTAGTCAACATGGTAAAAATTCGTCTCTACTAAAAATACAACTATTAGCTTGGTGTGGCAGCACACGCCTGTAATCCCAGCTACTCAGGAGGCTGAGGCAGGAGACTCACTTGAACCCAGGAGGCGGAAGTTGCAGTGAGCAGAGATCATGCTATTGCACTCCAGCCTGGGTGACAGAGTGAGACTCCATCTGAAACAAAAAAAAAGTGACACATCTGTGAGGAACATTCATAATTTAAGCCACTGGGTGACTGTGGGGTATGAATAGATGGCTGTTCCTCAGGGCTGGATGAGGGACCCAGCCTCGGGCCTGAGAGAATGACACAACTGCTAGGTGTGGGTATCCAAGGAAAAGGATGTCTTCAAGGAATTCTTAGTTTCTGTTGAAGCAGAATGGGCCTTTCAGGAGGCCCATCCCTGCCTAATCCTTGTCATGCTGCCATCAGCTGCATTCATCCGGGTCGTGGGCTCGGAGTTTGTACAGAAGTACCTGGGTGAGGGCCCCCGCATGGTCCGGGATGTGTTCCGCCTGGCCAAGGAGAATGCACCTGCCATCATCTTCATAGACGAGATCGATGCCATCGCCACCAAGAGATTTGATGCTCAGACTGGGGGTGAGTGATACCAAAACAAGGCCCAGGGTCTTGGATGGGCTTGTTGCACAGGATGCCCGGGAATGACCATGCTGTGCACTCTCAGCCGACAGGGAGGTTCAGAGGATCCTGCTGGAGCTGCTGAATCAGATGGATGGATTTGATCAGAATGTCAATGTCAAGGTGTGGGGTTCGTGATGAACAAGGGGAGGTTGGCGTAGGAATCAGGGAAAGGTCGGGGCTGGCACCTGAGGGGCGGTTATCATGACGGGAAGGAGGTAGGAGTGCAGAGATCTGAGTTGGCCTGCCCCCAATGCCAGGTGATCATGGCCACCAACAGAGCAGACACCCTGGATCCAGCTCTGCTGCGGCCAGGACGCCTGGACCGTAAAATTGAATTTCCACTTCCTGACCGCCGCCAGAAGAGATTGATTTTCTCCACTATCACCAGCAAGATGAACCTCTCTGAGGAGGTTGACCTGGAAGATTGTATCCTGCTCCAGAAGTGAGGGAGGGGCCCCAGTTGGGAACGGGGATTAGATCTTCAATTCAACTTCTGCCATCACCACAGCCCAGACTTGCGGGGGTAGGACCAAGGTCTAGGGAGGAGGGGAGGTAACAGAGATGGCCAAAGGTGACTTCCAGCCCCAGGCATTCACCCCATCCTACAGGGAATGGTTTCCTTAACTCACTGCAGATGTGGCCCGGCCAGATAAGATTTCAGGAGCTGATATCAACTCCATCTGTCAGGAGGTAAGTGGTCGTTTCTCTCTGGATCCAGGTAGTGGGTGTGTAAGGACCCTTCTCTCAATCACTCTGCTATAGTCCTTCTATCCCCTCATGGCTGTCCTGGGTTGTGGGCCCCATCTCTCTCTTCCTTTACCATTACTAGGGTTGGAGAGTATACGGGGTGGTTTTTTGTTTTTTATTTTTTGCTTTGAGACAGGGACTGGCTCTCGCCCAGGCTGGAGTGCAGTGGCGCAATCATGACTCACTGCAGTGATTCTCCCATCTCAGCCTCCCGAGTAGCTGGGATTACAGGTGCACGCCACCATGTCCGACTAATTTTTGCATTTTTTATAGAGGCAGGGTTTCACCATGTTGCCTAGGCTGGTCTCAAACTCCTGGGCTCAAGTGATCCATCTACCTCAGCTTCCCAAAGTGTTGGGATTATAGGTGTGAGCCATCATGCCCTGCCACAGGAAGTCGATTTTAAGTCTTTTTTTTTTTTTGAGACGGAGTTTCACTGTTGTTACCCAGACTGGAGTGCAATGGCACGATCTCGGCTCACCGCAACCTCCGCCTTCTGGGTTCAAGCAGTTCTCCTGCCTCAGCCTCCCGAGTAGCTTGGACTACAGGCGCGCACCACCATGCCCAGCTAATTTTTGTATTTTTAGTAGAGACAGGGTTTCACCATGTTGACCAGGATGGTCTCGACCTCTTGACCTCGTGATCCACCCACCTCGGCCTCCCAAAGTGCTGGGATTATAGGCTTGAGCCACCGGGCCCGGCCTGATTTTAAGTCTTATCCTTCAACAGAGTGGAATGTTGGCTGTCCGTGAGAACCGCTACATTGTCCTGGCCAAGGACTTCGAGAAAGCATACAAGACTGTCATCAAGAAGGACGAGCAGGAGCATGAGTTTTACAAGTGACCCCTCCCTTCCCTCCCCCACACAACTCGGGCTGGGGCTTCTTCTCTCAGGCCCTCCCCCTTCCCCCCAGAACCTCTGTCCCAAAACCTCATTCCCTTTTTTCTTTACCCAGGATTGGTTTCTTCAATAAATAGATAAGATCGATTCCATTTAATTTCTTCTTAGAAGTTTAACTCCTTTGGAGAATGTGGGCCTTGAATAGGATCCTCTGGGTCCATCTTGATCTGACAGATGAGAGACGAGGTGCATGGCCTGGGTAGCAGCTTGAGAGAACCAAGGAATTCAAACCAGATGACTTCCAAAATGTGGGGAAAGGGATGGAAAATGAACCTAAGATGGCAGTCCTTAATCACGGAATAAAGCCCCTATGCATCGCCCCATTCCCTACAGGTAAAAGACAATAAAAAGTTCAGGTCACGGGCCTTGGGAGTTCAGAGGAAGGAGGTGTCCAGTGCTGTCCAACAGAACTTTTCCATGTTGATGGATATGTTCTGTGTTCTCCAGTATGGCAGCTGCTCGCCACATATGGCTGGCTAATGAGCACCTGAAATATGGCTAGGTTGACTGAGAAACTGAACTCTTATTTTTTTGAGATGGAGTCTTGCTCTGGCACCCAGGCTGGAGTGCAGTGGTGAGATCTCACCTCACTGCTGCCTCCACTTCTCATATTCATGATTCTCCTGCCTCAGCTTCCTAAGTAGCTGGGACCACAGGCACCTGCCACCACACCTGGCTAATACAGGGTTTCACCATATTGGCCAGACTGGTCTCGAACTCCTGACCTCGAATGATACACCCACCTTGGCCTCCCACAGTGTTGGGATTACAGGTGTGAGCCACTGCGCCTGGCCAAGAAGTGGAACTCTTACACACTGCTGGTGGGAATGTGAAATGGTAAGCCACTTAGGAAAACAGTTTGATACTTTCTTATGCTAAATACACACCTATCAGATGATTTAGCAACTTCTGTGTATTTACTTAAGAAAAAATAACATATACATCCATATGAAGACTTGTAAATAAATGTCCTCATCATTTTTATTTGAAATGGCTAAAACTGGAAACAACCCAAATGTCCACCAGCAAGTGAATGGATATACAAATTGTAATGTATGTATGCAATTTAACACCACTCAGGAGGCTGGGCGCGGTGGCTCATGCCTATATCCCAGCACTTTGGGAGGCCGAGGCGGGTGGATCATGAGGTCGAGAGATCGAGACCATCCTGGTCAATTAGGTGAAACCCCGTCTCTACTAAAAACACAAAAATTAGCTGGGCATGGTGGTGCGCGCCTGTAGTCCCAGCTATTCGGGAGGCTGAGGCAGGAGAATTGCTTGAACCCAGAAGGCGGAGGTTGCGGAGAGCCGAGATCATGCCATTGCACTCCAGTCTGGGTACAAGAGCGAAACTCTGTCTCAAAAAAAAAAAAAAACACCACTTAGTAATATGAAAATGAACTACTGATGTATGCAAAAACATGAAATTCAAAATAATTATGCTGAGTGATAGAATCCAGACAACAAATGATACATACTGTATTATTCTATTTATATAAAGTTTTAGAAAATGCAAACTAATCTAAGTGACAAAGCATACCAATGGTTATCTGGGGTTTGGGGCAGGTGGGACGGATTATAAAGAAAAGCGTAGAAGGTGATAGATATTTTTAGTTTTCTCGTTTGTTTGTTTTTACTGTGGTGATGGTTTTTCAAGCATGTGTGTCAAAACTTACCAAATTGTACCTAATTTATTGTAGGTCAATTATACCTCAATAAAACTACTAATAGCTAAATACATAAATGTACTGAAGTTCCACCTAGCATAATAAGATAAGAAAAAAAGTCATGGGACTGGAAAAGAAATAGAACTCTCATTATTCACAAATGTCATGATTGCATATATTTAAAATCTAAATCTACACAAACCTATGAAAATTAAATAGTGAATTCAGCAATGTGGCTAAACATAGGTCAACATAAAATATCAAATATAAGCCAGGCATGGTGACATGCACCATCCACAGTCCCAACAACTCAGGAGCCTGAGACAGGAGAATTGCTTGAACTGGGGAGTTCAAGTTCAGCCTGGGCAATGTAGCAAGACCCACTGTCTCTGAAAAAAAATCAAACATATATATCAGCAATAAATAGGAACTTAAAATTTTTTTTTATTAAGACGGGGTTTCACCATGTTGGTCAGGCTGGTCTTGAACTCCCGACCTCAGGTGATCCGCCTGCCTTGGCCTCCAAAGTCGTTGGATTACAGGCCAAGCTGGGCAGATCATGAGGTCAGGAGTTAGACCAGCCTAGGCAATATGGTGAAACCCCGTCTCTACTAAAAATACAAAAATTAGCCGGGTGTGGTGGCGCGTTCCTGCAATCCCAGCTACTAGGGAGACTGAGGCAGGAGAATGGCTTGAACCCAGGAGGTGGAGGTTGCAGTGAGCCGAGATTGTGCCACTACATTCCAGCCTGAGCAACGGAGCAAGACCCCATCTCAAAAAAGAAAAAGAATAAAAGTATTAATTGTCCACAAATTGATCTATAAACAACCCAATGCCAATCAAAATTCCAGCAGTTTTGTCTTGCTGGAAATTGAGAAACTAATTCTGAAGTTTGTAAGTAAATGAAAGTCAGCAGGGGTCGGTCTTAGGTTCCCTGTCTCCAGACCCTATTCTCCTGCCTCATTTGGACCCCTACAATCTAATTATAAAGGTAAAATGTAAAAGGAAAACAAATAATTACGTAGAAGAATAGCTTCATGACCTTTGGATTGGCGAAATTATCATTTTTTTTAATAATTTTTTTTTGGAGACAGTCTCGCTCTGTCGCCTAGGCTTCAGTGCAGTGGTGCCTCAGCTCACTGCAACCTCCGCCTCCCAGGTTCAAGCGATTCTCCTGCCTCAGTCTCCTGAGTAGCTGGGATTACCAGTGCATGCCACGATGCCCAGCTAATTTTTGTATTTTTGGTAGAGACAGGGTTTTGCCATGTTGATCAGGCTGGTCTCAAACTCCTGACCTTGTGATCCGCCCACCTTGGCCTCCCAAAATGCTAAGATTACAGGCGTGAGCCACTGTACCCGGCCTAAGATAGTATTTTTAAGAAGCTCTAACAATAATGAAAAAATTATTTCGGCTATGTTAAAGTTAATAATTTCCATTCATCAATGAAAAGAAATCTCATACTGGGAGAAGTTATTTATAATACATATACATATACAACAAATATCTTGATATTTCGATATGTTATACAAATAAATCCTACAGACTAATATGAAAAAGACAGATAATTCAATAAAAAGGCAGCAAAAGAGGCGGCTAGATCACCTAAGGTCAGGAGTTCCAGACTAGCCTGGCCAACATGGTGAAACCCCCATCTCTACTAAAAATACAAAAATTAGCAGGGCATGGTAGTACATGTCTGTCATCCAAGCTACTCAGGAGGCTGAAGCAGAGAACCTGGGAGGCGGAGGTTGCAGTGAGCCAAGATCATGCCACAGCACTCCAGCCAGATTGTCTCAAAAAAAAAAAAAAAAAAATGAAAAGATGCTTAATAATTCAGAAACTGAAAGGTTCAAGATTTTGCTCTACTTGCATGCTAACGAGATAGCCTGCTGCAGCTTCACATACATCTAACAGAGAAAAAGTAGACCCCTGAGTCAGAGTCAAACCATTTTTTACTCATGGCAAAAGTGGCAGGAACAATATCTTGCCTTGCTTCCCAGAACCCCAGTTGCCATAGGGTAAAGCAATAAGGTAGAAAAGTTATCTGCTATATGCAGTGAGTGCTTTATAGGAGAATCCTGACATTAGGAAACTGCTCTTATATGAAGCTTCTGGTGGCATGCCCTTCCTCCACATGAGAGAAAAAGAAGAGTGACCTTATCTCTATTCCAGAATGTATGCAAATTTTCACTAGGAAGGGAAAGGAGAAGCATTTATCTTTATTACTCTGGAGCACCTCTACGAAGAGACATATTTAACCTTTACTAAGGTGGCACACATTCTTTTTTTTTTTTTTTTTTTTTTTGAGATGGAGTTTCACTCTTGTTACCCAGGCTGGAGTACAATGGCACAATCTCGGCTCACCGCAACCTCCGCCTCCTGGGGTCAAGCAATTCTCCTGCCTCAGCCTCCCAAGTAGCTGGGACTACAAGCATGCGCCACCATGCCCAGCTAATTTTTATATTTTTAGTAGAGACGGGATTTCACCATGTTGACCAGGATGGTCTCGATCTCTTGACCTCGTGATCCACCCACCTTGGCCTCCCAAAGTGCTGGGATTATAGGCATGAGCCACCGCGCCCGGCCAAGTGGCACACACTCTTGTACAGTTTTAACTTGATTGTAAATACCTCCACTCAAAGGACCTGACCCATGCAAAAACACGAGACTTGTCTCTCAGTATAAACCACAAGATAGGTGCTGTTTTGTACAGTCTCGAAAATCAGGCCAAGTTGCAGCAAACTCTTAGGAATTAATGTTAATTAAGTCCTTTTGGACTTCATGGGCCCAAAAGTTCCAGTATTTTATTACCTTTGAAAGAAAATTTCAAAATTGTAAAAAAGATAAATGGGTAGTTCTTGGAATACAAAATAAGTAGTGGTTAAGCTGGAGGTATCGGTGCAAAGCTAAGGCGCTGTATTTGTTACAGGATCGACTCCCTAAAGTTTGATGCTCATAGCCATGAAATAAGGTGGTAGAGCAATTCAGTTTCCCTGATCAAACAGCCTTTCAAAAGGAGTCTAGACCTTATTCAAATATCATGTCTTTTTTTTTGAGATGGAGTTTCGCTCTTGTGACCCAGGCTGGAGTGCAATGGCGCGATCTCGGCTCACTGCAACCTCCGCCTCCTGGGTTCAGGCAATTCTCCTGCCTCAGCCTCCCTAGTAGCTGGGATTACAGGCACGCGCCACCATGCCCCCCTAATTTTTTGTATCTTTAATAGAGACGGGGTTTCACCAAAGGGTTTCATCCTGAAGATTGACCAGGATGGTCTCGATCTCCTGACCTCGTGATCCACCCACCTCGGCATCCCAAAGTGCTGGGATTACAGGCGTGAGCCACCGCGCCCGGCCAGATCATGTCATTTAATTTGCACTGTGACCTTTGCCACACATAAATTATGCAGTAATTCCAGTATTCCAGTAAAAATCCATAACCTGAATCTCATCATAGGACTACATCAAACTACAAAATTGAGAGACATTACATAAAATAACTTTTTTCTTCAAAAATGTTGTCATAAGAAACAAAGAAAGAGTAGTGATGTCACAAGATAGCAGAGTAGGGGATTCCTGCTTTCTTCCTCCCACAAAAGTGGACCATTAGCTATCCATGAATAAATATAGCTCTAGAAGAGCTCTGGAGTCCAGTTAAGAAGCTGCAGCAAAACACCCAGAATACCCTTCCAACACAAGGGGTAGGAAGAACAGTTTTTGTTTTTAAAAAAGGAAATATCAAGTATCTTCTGAGATCACAATGGAAAAAAAACCCTAAAAATCAGTAAGAAGCAGAACTTTGGAAATTGTAAAAATACATGGAAATTAAGCTCCTCAATGACTACTGGTTCAAGGGAGAAAGAAAGGAGGAAATAAAAAATTTCTTGAAACAAATAAAAACAGAAATACAACATACCAAAATCTATGGGATACAGCAAAAGCAGTAAGAAGAAAGTTGACAGCAATAAATGCCTACATCAAAGAAGTAGAAAATTTTTAAATAAACTATCAAATCATGCCCCTCAAGGAGCTACAAAGCAAGAACAAACCACACCCACATTAGTACAAAGAGACATCATAAAGGTCAGAGAATTACTAAACAAAATAGAGACTCAAAAAAATACAAAGGATTAACAAAACGAAAAGTTGCTTCTTGGAAAAGATAAATAGAATTGATAAACCACTGGCTAGACTAACCAAGAAAAAAGAAAAGAACCAAATAAACAAAATCAGAAGTGTATCACAACTGATACCACAGAAATACCAAAGATCATCAGAGACTACAATAAATATACACTAACAAACTGGAAAACCTGGAGGAAATGGATAAATTCCTGGATACATATAATTTACCAAGATTAAATAAGGAAGAAATATAAAACCTGAACAGACCAATAAAGAGTAAGACCAATAATGATTCAAAGATATTGAATCAATAATTAAAATCTCCCAAACAAAGAAAAGTCTAGGACTTGGTGCTTCACTTCAAATTCTACCAAACTTTCAAAGAAGAACCAACCATTCTCAAACTGTTCCAAAAAATTGAAGAGAAGGGATTCTCCCTAGCTCATTCTACGATGCCAGCTTTACTTTGAGGCCAAAAACCAGACAAGGACGCAACAGCAACAACAAAAAAACTACAGGCCGGTACCCTGGATGAACATAGAAGCAAAAATTATCAACAAAACAC